ATTCTATAGAGTGGACACATTTGCCCTGGAGGCAGTTATATTCAAGCTCAGGCAGTGACAAGCTCGTCTTAACAAGTGACACTATGGAAGAAAGCTTGGTTTGAGTCACACACATCGAGTGTAGGGAACGTGCTTTACAGATTGACGTTCAAGGGCAAGACTGCGAGTGCACTCAACCGGCGCAGACAGGATTTAACATCTCAAATGCACATTGGCCTACAAATAAACACAAATTAGCTGTATAGCATACATGCAGCAAGTCATAAGCAAATAATAGCATGAACATCTATACTGAGACAAACGCACACATACAACTACGTGCATGTGTTTTGACTTGTGGAGGCTGTAGCTAGTTGTTACACTTTTCAGTAAACTAAAACATTTCTCAGGCTGGATTTATTTTTGAAAGTCAATATATATATATACATTTATCAAATCTATTGAACATTTTCATTGTTATTGCCCAGGAAAGAGATACTTTATTGAACACACATTTTTTGTAACAACATGCTGCAACAGCATTCCCTCAGTTATTCTGATTTAAGGTTTTTGAGTTTGAAACCTTTATTTCAGCTTTATTTCAATGAACAAAAATTGTTCTCTTGCACTGCGCCAGAAATCTCCACCTCAGTAGCAGTTTTATTCCTATCTATTTTCTAACGGTTTTACCTTCAGAGGGGCTTGTTCATATATCATTCGCCTGATTTATATAACATTTTATTCATAAAAACATAGTGATTTTTTTTCTGGCTGTTGACAGTATTTTCTGTATTATCGAGTGATAAAAGAGACATCCAAAATCGCTTCTGTAATAACCTTTGACTCAACAAAGTGAAACAAAACTTTTAAACCTGTTTATCCAATGTTCAGATATCTGATCTTGAAATGTATGCAAATTAGTGTAATTAGTAATTAGACAATGCATCATTTGCGTATTTAAACATAGCACTTGAGAAAACGTGTCAGTTGTTTTTATGTACTGTGATTAACTAACAGGGAGAAGTATTGTCAGATCTAGTTAAACATTTTTACCCTATCCACTAATAGTTGATATAAGATATTTTACAAGACAAAAATACTGATTAAGAGAACGATTTGAAAATAAAAGCACAAAAAAGAAGAGGGAGGGAAGATGTACAGGGGCATATCATGCACTGATGCCAGCTCGCTCCAGCATGTTTGAGGAATTGCCCAAACACAAACCGTTTGTGATTACAATCGAAAAATCAACAGCTGCATTGTGTGTGGATCTGATCTCGCAATCACAGCCGAGTGGATATGTGAGATACTGCTCTGCTTGAATTCTGCTGAATATTTCACTGCACACTGATGATGGCTCTAGCCTGGGAACTATTGCATTTAACATCACATACTGCTGGCATTGACACAATGTGCAAATTATGCTCCCCAGCATAACAAGGACACAATACTCCTTTCTGTTTCACTCTTAATCACTTTTAATTTCATTTTATTTCAAATCAAACATTCTCTGTCGCCACTAATCTCACTAATATCTAAATACATTAACTAACATTAACCAATGGAACCTTATTGTAAAGTGTTGCCAAAATATTCAATAGACTGATCAATATGATGAATAGAAGTTTTTTTGTTTTTTTTAAATAGCCAATCTGGCCAGATTCCACAATTAGAAAATATGCCAGGAGGAGCATTAATTAGTTGTGGCAAACCAGACAAGTGAAACCAATGAAAAAACAGATTACCAATTTTTGGATAAAAAGACTGATAAGAATAAGGTATAAGTATGGATGCCCGGTCAGACAAACACTCAGATGCGGTGACTGTCACCTCGGCTTTGTTGCTCTGTTCAATAAAGTCTTATTTTGACATCTGGAGCTCTGCTTCTTGAGCTTTATTGACAACATTGAGAAGACCATAGATTGCGCCACAACAAATGCTGAGAGTATTTAGTTATGAATGATTTGCAGGTGAATATGGTATTGCATTAAATACCCCTGGTGAGAATCAAGTTTTTAATATTGTTTACAAGTCTGGTGTGTTTAATATGCTTAGAGACAAATCATGTGCAAATTCATCAGTCAACACCATTGCTGAGCATTTTCTCTTTTAAACTGCAGTGTACCAATGACAGTCTCAAAAATGCAGATTGAAACATCCCATGTTTCTTACCCTCACAAACATGTAATCACTCCTGTCGTACACGCGAGGTGGGGCTTTTCATATCATTAGCAAAGCATTTCAACTTAAGGATGTTGATTTTTAGAAAGCAGCTTTCTGAGACTGACAACGGGAACATGGTTTGTGTAATATGAGCAACACAATATTGGCTGTCTGATAACATAGTCAAGCCAAAGGCTAATGATATTACCGTTATGTGTCCTGTGTTGTAGAGAGCAATACATTAAATACATTACCATTCTGAAACACCAACTCGTAGACAACCCATATAATTCGCTCTTCCTCTTCTTTTTCGGCATCAGTTTCTGGTTCAAACACAAAGTATATGGCTGAATTAATCCAGTAGAAGAATTTTTTCACCAGAAAAAAAAAGTTTAAATATATAATTTTTGATGGTCAAAGATTAGTTTAAGGGATAAATCAGTGACTGCAGGGGGACTTTAAATAAAAGCTGCAATTTTGTTCCAGTTTGGAAATACGTACAGGTGGTTTGAGGATCCAAAAATATGCATCCTAATGCATCTAAATAAAACTGGCATCATATTTCTTAGTTTTATACCATAGACCCTGATCATCAGGAACAACATTCCTGTTTCCCCCCCTTGACGATGGGATTGGTTTCAGTGGGTGGTTTATTAAGGCTCTGCATGTGTTCTCATCATTTTAACACAGCAATATTTGACAAAAATATTAAATATTGTTTTGATGTTTAGACTTAGTAGAGCGAAAAAAGACTTGGTGGAAGCGAGATTCTGTGGGCTCTGAACAAATAAGGGTGGCAAGTGACTAGCAATGAAAATGCTGATGACCTTATCCTGCCTGTATGCATGAAGTCCTGTGTCCTGTTGAGGAAGGGTGAAAAGATGTTGGTATTAATAATTAGTTTGCTTTATTTCAAATTCTAAACTTTTAATTGGAGCTTTAACAACAGCAAAACTCTGGATTTTCTCACTTATGATTGTTCTTTATGTCCATACTGAAAAAAAAAACATTGTGTACAGGCATTTATATATTCCTATCATAATCTATGGCTCCACTTTTTACTAAGGCATAAAAATCTGCATTCGGTTAATTAAGGAAACCGCGCATCGATTTAATTTTTGTAGTATCAAATGTGATAAGACTTTGCAGTTTGGACGTCGCCATCTTTGGTTTACTTTAGTCACTGTCGCTATAGTAACAGGTCACAAATAGAATAGTTGCACATGCACACAGTTATGGGTAATTGATCCATACTTGAACATTCTGCTACTTTTATGATGTCATGGACTTGAAGTATTGAAGTCACTTTGGATCATGTGTTTAAAATCTCTATAAAAATACACTAATATGGCGAAAATTATCGACTTGTTCAAGTTAATTCCACAAAAAGGATTTTTCTGAAAAGAATCTCTTAAACATGTTCTTCTTTGTTTCTTTCCATCTTCATGTCACTGCCATGAACGGTAAGAGTGGCAAGAAAGACAGCAATAAAAGGCCAACTTAGCTCATTTTTAATTTGCAAAAAATTGTGAATGTGAATGTGTAGCATATGAAAACTGTATAAACTGATAGTGTTTCTGAACATGTTCTTCTCATTTCCTTTTTCTTGCATGACTCATTCTGTCTACATGCCATGGTCTGAGGTGCCACGATGGTGGTAATATAAAAAAAAACTATGGTGCAGCATGATTTGATTTTTTATTCTGAAAAATCACTGTATTTCTGAACATATTATTCTCTCTCTTTCTTTGCATGACTCTTTCCAACTACATTCAACGGGTTGAGCCTTACAATGACAAACATGGTAATGCATCAAAAAACTGTTATTTTGTGTTAAAATGCAGCATGATTTTTTATTCTGAAAAACCACTGTATTTCTGAACCTATTCTTCGTTGTTTCTTTCTTTGCCTGACTCTTTCCAGCTACATGGCACGGTTTAATCTGCCACAATGAAATGGCAAACTATCTGACAGCAATATAAGATAAGTCCAGTCTGAATGTTTTGTATATGAATACATTCAAAAAATGTGTTAACTTGTTTAAAAGTGGAAATTCACTGTATTTCTGAACATGTTCTTGTTTTCTTTTCTTTTTTTTCCCCCATGACTCTTTCTGACAAAATGCTACAGTTTGAGCCATTACAGTGGTGAATATGGTAAGATAGATCACACGAGAGAAGTAGCCAGTGCTCAAGGTGGGCCCGTATCAGTATCAGTGATCAGTACCAGCACTTCTGTATTTTATTCTTAGTGTAACATTACTTTTTTCTTGCGTACAGGGATGTCTGGTCTGGTTATATAATAATAATAATAAAAAAAGTATCATGGTAATAGCTTTTTTGGGCTGTATTTGGGCTAGTGTTATATGATAAGATATGACATGATACATGATATGATATGACATGATATATGATAAGACTAGGGAAAACAAGGTTTAAATCTTTTATTCTCAGTGCATCCCATGAATTGTGAGGTTTGCAGGATTTCAGAAAATAAGGGAACATGTTATTTTTTTGTGAACACTGAAGCGCAGTACTTTTAAAGGGACAATATTTGGGACCAATACAAAAAAAGCCCTGTAGCGGTACCGTGGTATTTTGATAGTATGGTAGCCCAACGGTAGGCTATTTTGCCGTGTTGTGGTGGGAGATAATCTGAAATTGAAGTCCAACTGAAAACAACAACAACAAATACATAGGCTACATGCTGCATACATAGCTGCAAAACAATGAACAACATAATCACGACACAAGACATCATCATAACGTTGTTTCCTGTCACGGTCATTAGGCAAACGGCACGTTATTTATTTCTTCCTCAAAAACGATGTAGATCCACATCAGTCCAGTAGGTGGCAGTATGCGCACTCAGATCTGTGAACTGCCCGAAATGAACAGAAGAACTTCCTCGAAGAAGACTCTGGAAGAATCATGGCGGTGGATAAGAAAGATACACGTTCAGGGAAAGCTCCTAAAAAAGAGTCGCAGCCTTTAATTATCGCCAAAACCCCAGCAGAGAAGCAGCGCCTAAAGTTGGAGAGATTGATGCGAAACTCCGTGAGTTTGCCTTTTACCTCGAGCTAGCGGTTTTGTTTGGAGTAGTAAGTCATGCTAATGATGCTACTGAACTGTCGCAGAAGCATTGAACATAAACAGTACTGAGTTTGATATTTTGGTTTTAAAGGATAAACCTGCGCCCATACCAGAGAAACCAAAGGAGTGGAATCCACGCGCTCCGCCAGAGTTTGTGCGGGATGTGATGGGTTTGTGTTGTTTCTTTGCTTTCTCAGATCTAGGTATGAAGTTAATTTGAATCGTAACTTAGTCTAGTTTTACTTCATTCAGTATGGATTTTCCAAAAGGATATTTATATTATCGATTTGTTTTTGTTCTTAGGAACATTTTGTATTAATCGGACTAAACCGAGTAACTCAAAACCTAATTTTCCTCATTTTCTAACAGCTTTAAAGTACATTTAAAATCTGCAAAGTTTTTAAAAAGTCAGTAAGCCCTAAGAACTGTATCTCTGTTAAATGACTTTAACTTATGTTAGTGATGCCCTTTAATTTGAGTTTCATCCTTTACTGTTTAATTATTAAGGTAATGCTGTGTTTCTGTTTGTGCTTATAAATAAATAAATAAATAAATATAATTTTCTTTGCAATAGTAGTTAGATGCTATTTATACTACTTAGTGCAAATAGTGCCAGATATCTGCACCGCTATTGTAGTACATTATAAAACAGTATGTAATAATAACAATATCAACGTCGTGATATCTGATTTGAAAAAGTAGAAAAAAAGCTCGGTAAAACGGGATTCGAACCCCGGTCGATCGCGTCAAAAACGACTTTAACACATACTTTACCATCTGCGCCACTGGAGCTGTTTTGTCTTGTAAATAGACACTCCATTTTTTATTTGTGAACTGATGTTCAGGTCGCTGTTGAACAGTGTTACTTTATAAAAACGAGTGACTTTTAGACTTTTAATGTCGTATTTAGTCATATTCGCGTTTTTATTTTTGTAATATCGATTATTTTCTCATCCACTTTTGAGGAGAGGAGACACTGCCTCCCTTGCCTCCTCGGAGGAAACGCCCCTGATATATATATATATATATATGTATATATGTGTGTGTGTCTCAAGAACTTGCTGAATTATGTAAGTTTGAAACTTCAATAAAAAAAAAAGTAATTTAATGATTCATACTCTAAATTGATTCGTAAATTCGTACGCATCCATTTCTTTTAGTATTTTTGAAGAAGAAATGCATACATAATAAATATATATATATATATGGATTCAGTAGTGATGTTGCGGTGCCGCTGCATAGTAGTAAGCTACAGAAAACTCTTTCAGATAATTTTAGTATGGTATTTCAAATAATTATTTGATCAAATCAAACAGGTTTCCTCAAGAGTCCCACACTTTGCCATTGGCTGCAACAGCAGGTAGTCCTGCCCCAAACTCACAACATTGGAGCAGAGCTGCATCCAGGTTTTGTGATTGGCTAACACACTCTGTTAAACAAAACACGCTGAAAAGTGAGATGTGCAGCAGCACTAACAGTGACTGACCCCAAATCTTTTATTGATCTTTGTTGTAATATAATGTTTTCATATTTATATTTTGTCTAGTGCTTCACACACTTTACTGTAATTGGGTCTAACATTCTCAGGAATTTTGCCCTCGCAAATAATCGGTCAGGATTCATTTTTGGTATATATATTTGTTGAATTCCCGCAGGTTCCAGTGCTGGAGCAGGCAGCGGTGAATTTCATGTGTATAGACATCTGCGCCGTCGGGAATATCAGAGACAAGACTTCCTGGAACGAATTTCTGAAAAGGTAGCTTTATTTTTGCCTAAAGCATATGATTATCAAATAATTATCAAATAATGAATTACTCTAAGAAAACGTGAAAATATAAGGCTCTCAGAATTGTTGCCAAACAGTATATGTGTGAATGATATGTATATTACTGTAGATTTAAAAAAAACTCTGTGTCATGCTTATTGGTGAAATACAGAGCACAGTTGTTTTTTTTTTCGTTCCCAGTCCTCCCTGAGATTGTTTTAAACTTTAAATGACTGCTGGTGAACAGAAATAAATCAAGTGCTTCAGTGGAATGTGGGTCCGCCCGTTATTTGGAGTGGTTTAAATAACAGAATTTGGGTGTGCCGTGGATCTGCTCAGCTCTCCAGCTCACATGTGCACAGGACAGACATTTGACTGTTGCTGTGACAATCTTGTGAATTGAGCAATATTGAGTTGAATTTGTCAATGTAATATTCCGCTGTGTGATGCATTGTTCCCCACTTTTGTGTTTCTTTTGGAAACGCATCAAAAATCACCTCCTATACATTTGTAACATGTATACATGTAACATGTAAGTTCCTCTCTCTTATAGTGTTGAACAGTCAAATTCATTCAAGTGAAATTTGATTGAAATTTACACTACTGTTCAAAAGTTTGGGGTTGTAAGATTTCAAAAGAAGCCTCTTACGCGCCGCAAGGCTGCATTTATTTGATCAACAACGTAGTAAATACAATAATATTGTGAAAAATTATTGCAATATAAAATAAACTATTTTAGTTTGTTTTAAAATTTTGTAAAACCATTACTCCAGTCATCAGTGTCGCATGATCTCTCAGAAATCATTCTAATATGCTGATGCTTGGTGCTCAAGAAACATTTATTATTATTATCAATGTTTGTAAACAGGTTTTGCTGCTTAATATTTTTGTGGAAATGGTCATGCATGCTTTTGACTCTTTGATGAATGGAAAGCTTAAAAGAACAGAATTTATAACAATAATAATAACTTTATTTAAGATTAAAATCATTAAAAATATATATATTTTGCCAACACTTTTTGCATAGAGTTTTGGGTCTTGAATTTGGCCTGTCTTTTTCAAAATAAAAAAAATAAAAATTCAAAATAAAGTACAGCTAGAATTGGTTCACAAGTAATTTGTTTTACTCTTGCAGCAAAAGCTGGATGAAAAATATATTGAGAAGGTGAACGAAAACCAAAAGGCTGCTGAGGAAAGAACGGCCAAACGCAGAAAAAAGAGGTTCGCAAAATACGGTCTCGTTTTTTATTCAGATACTTTAGAATCATTAGAGATCTCTTAGTTTATCTCGTGTGTCTCTGAATCTCAATTGTTCTTTCGTGTTATTTAGGGAAAAGTTGAAACAAAAGATGTTGGCCAAGAAAGCCAAGATGGAGAGCCAGAAAGAAGGTAAAGATATTGAAATGATCTTATAAATTCACCCCCTGTTCATGTTCTGTCAACCCCAGCAGGAAGACACCTACTAAAGTCTCTGAGTCTCTGAACACTTATGTAAACAAATATTTTATAATGCTGAAATTATGAATTAATTGTAGTTAATTGAGCTGACTGATTTGTATACGTTTTCTGTTGTCAAAAAAGCGAAATAAATCCTCTGTGATTCAATGTTGTAAAGTAAAACAATCCGTGGGGTGAATATTTATTGAGCACTATATTTAAAAGTGCTATTTATGAATGGCAGCACAGGTCATCATAATCATAACTGCACCTCTTGAATTTCAGCTAGTGAGTAATAATGTTTGTTGTGTCAGCAGGCTCAGAGGAGAAGTCATCATCCTCTGCTTCTGAAGCAGAAGAGCGAGAAGATGATGCAGAAGTGCCCAGCTTCATCATGGGGAAGAGGTGACTTGATGAAAGGATGGACGTATCCAGCAGATACTACCTTACAATGGCAGAAACGCCTCCAGCAGTGAATATTTTCTGAGCTGTGTGCTGAAAACACTTGAAGTCAGTTTGAAATCAGTGTTTCAGGAGCGCACTCATAATTTGTGCTTGAGTTGGATGTTCAACACTTGAGCTGGACATTTGAAAAGCTGGATGTTTTTCTTCACTGGAGTGTTGATAAAATAATGTGACCAGGATCAACTTTTGTTCAGTTGTGCATGT